CACATTTTACAGTATCGGCCCCGATACCCGATACCAGTATCGGTATCGGTGCATCCCTAATAAAATGAATGTCCACGCTGGAGACTGCGTCACTATTTCCCTCCACCGACACATGAAATCAGCTGATCGTAGCGAGAACTGATAAGCGGCATCGTTAGGCAGGCAGATTTAACGATTCCGAGGAATTGGAATTATTTTCCGGCTCTGGTCAGATGTACACTTCTTACATCACTTTTGACTGACTTGATATTTCAGGGGCGCACTTCCACAATGGAGAGCATTTCCATGAACCTTTCACGTTCCGTAACCCAGAAGATGTTTTCAGGGAATTCTTTGGTGCCAGAGACCCATTTGCAGACTTTTTTGGTAAGACCTTCATTCAGCTGAACAAAGCTGGTACATCAACTGCATGTTTGAAGACTGGGCCTTTGCTGTGGTTCTCAGCTATTCTTGCGCTCTGACTCTTTCTCCTCTCAGGTCCAGATCCATTTAGCGATGACTCGTTTTTCGGTAGTGGCCGGCGGCACCAAGGCCGGGCAAGTCGTAGCCGGTCAGGCGGCCCTTTTTTGGGGGGCTTTGGTTTCCCAGCCTTCGGTGCCGGCTTCTCCCCTTTTGACCCAGGTAAGCTGTTAGCCAGCGTAAAGCACACGCTGCTGCAGAGCGGCTCCACAACTGTTGGCAGTGTTGATCTTTTGCTTAAATGAATTAAACACATCAACTTTTTACTTTTAGCCTTTGGTTCTTTTGGCTCCATGAGTGCCGTGGGTCATATCGGTCACATGGGTCACATGACAACAATGGGCGGTATGGGAGGTGGCGGCTTCACCTCTTTCTCATCAACCTCTTTTGGAGGAGGAGGTGGAGGAAGCATGGGCAACTTTCGATCTGTGTCTACCTCCACCAAGACCGTCAACGGCAGGAAGATCACTACTAAAAGGTACTGACCTACCAGATAGCATGTGACAAAATCTTCACTGCGACTCCCTCATGTGCACAGAGCAGCGATGTGCATCGTACGGTTGATGTATTCTCAGTTATTGTGCACAAATCTTTATTCCATCCCTGCGGTGTCATCAGTGAGCTCAGCCTCCGTGTCGCCCAATTCTAAACCAAACAGTCGCTTTAATTTTAACTTTAATGAAAGATGAACACAATCATCGCGTCCTGGTGTAGCAACACAGTGAGTCCTTTCAATGCATAACCCATCCAATACATCACTTGTCAGGGAAGCAGCTCTTTGAGCTTTTCACAGGTTAAAAATGAAGCGAGAGCAGCTGGCAGATGCCGATTCTCAGAGGAATTCTCAGGAATTTTAGGAATGTCCTCAGCTGGATGTGCTGTATGAAAACTGAATGCTTTTTAATCAGAGCTGAGATCACAGTCAGATTAGGCTGAAGGTTTTCAGCTTTGCAGACGTCGGTTGAGGTTTTGCTTTAGTACAGCGGCGATCTTGTAGTAATAGTCTCATCACATGGCGGCCATCTTTGTAATGTCCATGTGTTCCTGGTCTGTGAGCGGGAAGAAGCCCATAATCTTTCTACTTATAGTCACTTTGATGTAAACAAACCGTTCGTTCTGTAACCCAGAAGATTTCCAGTGTTTCCAGTGCAGATAACCTGCTGTGTGCACATGTGGATGTCCAACAACATAACTGTTCTGTTCTGGACCCTTGAGTGGCACATTTGTCACTGATAGTTGTGAACTGCTGTGCAAATCGTATCAATCAGTCAATCAGAAAAAGGTCTAAGCTTTCTGCCACAGGGTTTTCCTGACTGCTATCATGCAGCGTGTACGGATGTTTGCATCGCAAAAGCCAGATGATCGGCGATAATATCAATACATGCTTCATGCTTTCTGCCAGTTTAAGGTCGCCTTGTTACTTACCGTTATTTAACATTTTTTGTTTCTTACCTTTCCACAGAGTCACAGTTTAATCAGACTTGGCTTATTGCATTTTGAATCCCTGATGTTTATAAAATGATCTAAATGTGGTCTGGATAGATGATGGATGATGGATAGTGAATGTTTTAGTCTTACTGTGAATTTAAAATCGAGACTTGGATCAGTCCTGTGCATTTGTGTCTTTAACTCTTCACGGTGTTCCTGTGTGCAGGTTAGACCTTCCATACAGGTGCTCACATTCACACAGTTTCTTTTTTTATTGGTTTAAATCAATTCCAACTTCTGCCTGCAAACGACACATTGAATCAGTGCATAGCTCTTCTGTGAAGCAGAGGACAAATGGATGGTTTCATTTCAAACTGAACCAACATGAAACATTTGTCAAATTGCAACCTCAGAGTGGAAAAGATCTGTTGCTTGAATCGGTGTATCGAAGCAGCCAGAGGTGTTCTGTAGCTTTGTGTGTCCTTTGTTGATGATTTTTCCAGTGTAATTTTCAGCCCTTTGTTCAGTACAACAGCATCAAGAAGAAAAAGCCAAACACACTTTTGCCATTTAATTTTGAGGGAAGTTTCCAGAAAATCCAGTGTGCAAAAAACAGCTCTTTTTTGAAGTGTAGGCAGGAGTTAAGGAGAGTAGGAAGGAAGTAGGAGGTGAGGCTTAGTTTGACCCATGTTTACACCTGCCTAATCATCATCTCAGCAATATCTCAGCAGACTAAACACTGCACCAGCAGACGAGCGGTACGAACGCTGCTCCCATTACGTGTAAAAGGATTTTCACGATTCAGATGGTGTCAAATGCTCTCTGTTTCTGCAGAATTGTAGAGAACGGCCAGGAGAGAGTTGAGGTGGAAGAGGACGGACGGCTACGCTCGTTAACCATTAATGGCAAAGAGCAGCTGCTGCGACTGGAACACAAGTGAAGACACGCAAACGTCCTCCACTGGAGAAGTGTTACCTCAGTACCGAGATCCCAATAAAACTTGAGCTCACAGTGGAATAAACAAAGCAACAAAACGATGTAATAATAGCTGTGTTTCATTAGGTTACTTATGTTGTGCTGTTCCATTCATGTCCTTCCCCTGCTGACTCTCATTTGTTAACCAACACTTTGACTCCAAGGGTTTTCTATGCATTTAGTTGTTGTCTATGAACCGAAGCCGTCCTTTATTTTTGCTCAGGGTGGTGTTATTTTAACATTCGGGACCACAGTATTGTTTTGATGTTCTGATATGACCTTCCCCATTTCAGTACTTTGAGCTTCGCGTCATTCACAACGAGGCGTGACTTTGCTCTTTCATCTGAATCGGGAACAAAATGATTTTCATTTTGAAACGTGGGTCAGAAGTTTCTATCCCAGCACCCCACGTTTGTTGCTTGTCTACCCGATTCTTAATATTTATTTATTTTTATTAAAAACACAATGCTGGTAGGATGTGTTTTGCAATTTTATATGTTCTAATACCGGTGTGTTTCTGTTTATTTAATGACGCATGTATACCTGTTGATGTCAAGTCTTAATGTCAAAGCTTTTGATGGAAGGCGTTCCATAAATGACAAATGAATATGGAAGGAATTTTGTGTACTTTGTAAACCAATAAATCTTGAGTTTCATCCTGTTTTCAGGATGTTGAAATATTCGCTGCCTCTGGCTTTAAGTTTTCAGGGATTTAGATGAACAGCTTTCAGTGTCCATCGTGGTTAAAAACTCGTTGGTCTCTTTATTTATTCAGTCTGTGTTGAAATACTTCTTCTTTGGCTCTCGGAGGAGGCGGACGCACTTTTTCTCCTCTCCCTTATCTTC